CCGCGAGAGAGATAAGGGGGGCCCCCCCCCCTTTTAAAAAAAACCAATGGGGGGGGGGGGGGGGGGGGGGGGGAAGTAAAAACCTTCCCAAGCCAAAACCAAAAAAAATTAAAGTTGTTTGAAAGATGGGGGCATGATTTCCCTAACTATAACAAAGAAATGCCTAATGCAAAACACAATGCCAATAATGAAAATAAATAAAAGGCCGGCTTACTAATATGGCAATTTTTGATTTTGAATTCAAATTTGATAAACATGCTTTGATACAACATGTATTCAAATAAGTATTGAAATTTGCGATGCAGTTTGAATGATGCGCCAAGCCTCGGTGCATGCAAGACAAATGAATGGATGCAAATATGTAAGCATAAGGTATGCTTATTGAAATATGATCCTAATCTAACCATCGAAAGTGGTTAAGTAAAAGGGAGAAAGACGCAGGGTTGGAAGACATGTACACACGCATGCACACTTATTACAACATTACGCCCTCTCGAAGGAGGGTCTGAATGAATAAGCTTAGCTACACTAAGCTAAGCTAATTATTACAAACCAAAACTAATTAACTATTCTAGTTAACTAATTATTACAAACCAATTGATTCCCAAGCAACTCTTGATTAACTCTTGATTCCCAAGCAATCAACCAAGCATTTTCAATGCATGATGGCCAAAGAACCAAGCTTGTACAATTTCAATGAGTGCAAAACAAGACTCGACAAAGCCATAACCCTATCATGCATGATTAAGGGTGATGGTGACTAAGAATAATGGCACGTTTCATCACTTTGAGTATGAAACGTCCCATTTTTCTTGTGTTCGGGTTAACGTCCGATCCGAACACATGCAATGCAACACAAAGATGGTTAGCTTGCCCCTTTTACTTGTCCAATTTTATTTACTCATTTTACATTACCAATTAGTCCTTTAATTGATTAAGTCCAAAGTGAGAGTCCTCTAATTGAAAGTAGGTTCAAACCATAAGTGCCTTGAGCATGAAAGAGTCCTCATGCTATTGGTTAGTAGAAACCCTCAAGAAAGGATTAAAACCATTAAGCACAAGTGTCTCAATTTCGCACTCAAGCCAACAAAGGGTTCAAAGTCACTTTCAAAACAAATAAAAGAGTGAAGAATAGAGGGGGATGGTAGAGATTTCAGTGCTGAAATGGGATGCAAAATGACACTAAAACATGCAAGCAACTCATGCAAGTCATGTTTAAAAGCCTAACTCATTAAGCTAGTGAAAGAGATTGCACTACAACCATACAATACAAGCCACAAAGGGCCAAACCAACTCAAAACAGAGCTAAGACCAGTCAAAACAGTGGCCAAAACATGCTGAGATTAAAGCACAAAATGCTAGAAAAACATGCTCACATGTTAGCTTGCAAACAAGACTGAAGACACAACTCTCAAAAGCAACGAAAAAGTGAAATAAATGAGCATGTGACAGAGCTATATACACTGAAATTGCATGTAAAAAGACACTACAACATGCAACCATCTCAAGCAAATCATCTTTAAAGGCCTAAAACAATGAGCTAGTGAAGACCATTACACTATAGCCATGCAATACAAGCCACAAAGGACTTAACCAGCCCAAAACAGAGCTAAAACATGCCAAAACAGTAGCTAAAACATGCTTGAATTAGGCTAAGTTAAGCTAGAAAATCAAGCTAACATGTAAAGTTAACTAGGTATGGAAGCAAGACACAAGGAGGGGAGGCTAACCCCCCCATTTTTGGACTTTAAAACATGCTTTCCACCACTAAAATAACTTTGAATTTCAGTGGTTTAAAGGCCTAAAAAGTTTGATTTCAATATGCCAAAAGATGGTGTAAAAAGCTTCACAATTAGGCAACAAGAAGGGTGGACTACGCCCCAACACAAAATGACTTCAAACCAACATGTTAAGGCTAAAAAATCAGAGTTTTTTTGTAGTTGAAAACTAGGCCAAAAACAATATAAAAAGATGGCCAAACAAGTGATTAAAATAAAGCTTACAAGGCAAGTCCTATACCTCTTGAAGCACAGCACAAAACAGACCCTTTTTTAGGCTCAAACAACCTTTCAACAGCTCAAATTAGGTTCCAAGGGACCTCAGCTCCAAGGTGGTCCAATTTGGTAAGACTTGATGTGCAAATGTGTAGAGAATTCTGACTATAAGGCACAAAATAAGAAGAGAGAGAGGGAGAAATTTGCTCAAAATTGTCTAACCCTCCAATCAAGCTTAGAGCTTGTATTCATCCCTGCATACACGTGTATGGATATGAGCTTCAGTGAGCAACAGCTGGCACAACTGGAAAACAAATATCTGAAAAAGGAGAAAAATGGCCGCAGGCCACCAATGAGGCTGACTGGCCATCAGTGTAGCCGACCAGCCACCACTAATGGCCGATAGGCATAAGCCCTGGCCGATGGGTTGTAGGGTTGGCCGACAGGGCACCCTCTCCCCCAGACTTGAAACAACAAGCTCTTGGTCCACAACCAAGCACAAAATAGACAAGTTTCAAAGGCTCAAAGGCAAGGCACTCCACCAAGAACTTTGGGCGTCCAAAACGAACACAAACAAGGATGATCATCGAGTATTCAAACGAGGACGTCCAAGTCTTGAGAATGGTAAAAAATGGGGTGTCTACAGAGATGATGATGACTCCTTATGACTTTGCCATGATCATCGGCTTGGATATAGGGGCGATCCGATCCCACTTGATACAGACATGGAGGAGTGAGAGGCGGCCTGGTTCGAGTTGCTGGGGGCACATCCACCTATATACTGGACGGGCATGGTCAGATACACCTAGTTTGCTGAGTGATTCAGAGGGAGCAAGCCTGAGACAGTAGAGGAGACAAAGCAGCATGCTAGGCGCTTCCTGGTGTTTGTCTTCGGTACCACCTTGTTTTTGAACAGATGGAACACCGTAGGCCTGCATTTGCTAAGCGCCCTAGTTCCCTCGGGTTCATTTTTACGATTGGGGCGGAGCTGGCCTAGCCACCTTATACGAATACATGAGCTCTACCTCTCGTTTGTGGGGAGACTTGATCGGAGGCTACTGACGAGCCTTGGAGGTATGCATCTCAACTTCCTTTCAGCACTTTACATTTTATGCTTTACATCTATTCAACACCTGTGCTTTCTGATTTGCACTTTCTGTATCTGCTTAGACACTGTTCATACACTGTGCTTTTTGTTTTGCACTTTCTGCACATGCTCAATAGTGTATTGATCACATATCATTGAACTTCCCCTGCAGCTATGGGTGTATGCATATTTTTCGACCCTTGCCCCAGAGCTTGTAGAGAAGCTTCCCTTAATAGTCCCCTATTTTGCGGAGATATGATGGCAGGCTCCACCGTAGGACCCATGAGCTCTTCAAATTTTTCTGTCAGTACTTCGACACAGTAGTGGCCTATGAGGTAACCCAAAGCACAGTCATTTTTGCTTTAAAACTGTTCTGCTTCACATATAGCAACTGACAATAACTAATGATCTGTATAACTTCCATTTGCAGATCATGTGGCAGCCATGGGCCACGATGCCAGCGGGGATCTGAGACCAGTTCACCGGAGGCTGGGCTACTTTCCGCTATAGTATTCTACTCAAGGGCCCAATCTGTCGAGCCTAGTTCTTGGGCGAACGCTTCGTGCGCCAGATCGTGGGCCTGCCTGACCCGATCGTCCCGATTGCTCCGCTAGAGTCCATGTAATCTACTGACGGCCTATCCACTGAGGAGGACATTCAGTTTATGGTGGGCCTGGATTCCGACTACTTCCGAGCAGAGGGAGACTATGCCGTCCCTGACCGGCGTTCGTGGAGCTGAGGAAGCGAGAGCTCCTGCTGTGCGAAAAAGGCCGAGAGTGACCCGGGTGACCAGGGCCCGTGGTAGAGGGGCTTCCCGAGTGAGGTAGAGGACTGATTGGCCAGAGCTTCCTACCATGCTGACTTGCTGGTGACACACCGGGGATGCCTACCAGGTTCCGATTGAGCCTGTGGCGGTTGGTCACGAGCTTGTCGGGGTCTGAGGCCCGACTCAGGTATGAACCACACTTTACATTTGCACCCCATACTTCATTTCAGATATGTTCATTTGTTGACATTGATCATTCAAACTGCATTTATAGGCATCCATTGAGTACACAGGAGGCGCTCTCGAGTTGATAGCCTCCCTAATAGGGATGGTACAAAGGAGAGAGGCGCTGCTCAGCCTCTACGGTATTCAGGTAACTTCTTCAGTTTTCCATTATATGCACCAAATTTTCACTGACACACTGACACAGACACTTCAATTGAAAACTTCCTACACTGCACTGATACACTGCATCTGACATACTACACTCACACACTATATTCATATACTATATCTGACTTCTGCATACACTCATTTTGTGCATCATGCTTGCATCTGATACATATGCTGTAACTAATATGTGACAACTGTCTTTTCAGATCCCACCCATGCCGATGGCACTAATGGCAGTTGCAGCACCTACACCAGTGGTACCTCCTCCAGTAGCAGGGAGGAGAGAGAGAGACATGCTCCAGCACACGATTGAGGCAGAGCTAGGGGCACCCGAGATGAGAGTGGTCCTTCAGAGCCCATTTTGAGTGATGATGATACTGAGACGAGCAACTTTGAGGAGGCAGTGAGTCAACATTCAGAGTCATCTGAGAGTGGAGATGATGACCCCGCCTTGGGTTCCAGGAGTGGAGATGACGATTCGAGGAGGGCTCTAGAGCAGAGAGCGGAGATGACACTGACTCAGGTTTCGGTTCAGATTCAGACAGTGGCACCAATGGAGATAATGCCCCAGAGTCCTTTCCTCTGAGGAAGAGGACAAAGAGTGCTTCTTAAGCGTGAGGCGACCAGCGTTGATTTTTTGTATTTTTTCTTACTTTCTTTTTGTTTATAGTTTTAGCACATTGTATAACTTCAGACAGGTTTTATTTACTTTAAAAACTTGTACTGCACTTTTGTAAAAACATCCATGATCGGAATGAAAACCAGTTTTTATGAAAAAGTATTGTATTTTGCATCATGAGCACCACATAGCATGGAATGGGCATGGAATCAAAACGACCAAGAACATCCTTGATTGAAATAAAAAACTCTTAATAAGGTAACGAGCTGATCAACAACTGACATAAAAAGGAATAAACAAATCAACATACAACTCGATAAACAAAACAACACAACATAGATACAAACTCAAGAAACTTGCTAAAAACCAAAAAGACTCAAAACAAGGCCTCAAGACACACAAATAGCAGAACAAAACACATGCTTTCAGCATTGTTGAGGAAGGTTGCCGGCCACAAATAGAGTTTGCCGGCCACATGTCGGCCATGAGTGGTGGCTTGTCGGCCACCAATTTCCCCTGCCAGCCACTAATCCAGCATACCGGCTACCTGCCAGCCATCAATGCCGCGGCTAGATGTTGGAACCCGATTACACATGTCTTTAGCTTTGGAGGATAAGAGATATGCCTGACAATCGAAGAATTTGAGGCACTAATGGAATCTCGGCACGATGAGGAAATCATATCTCAGCCTTATTTCGGCCACATCCAAGCTTTGGGACGGATGTGTAGGCTTACTCTACATGAGGCTCGATTTTTGGTTCACAACGAAGAGCTGGATATTCCCAGCCCGATCCATCAATTTTCTGATGTCGGTGACCGCGACGACCTTCTTTGGCGGGGTTTTAGGCAACATGCCCTTTGCTTATATATGTCGGCTCATTTTCTTCTTACCTCAAATTTCGGAGGGTCTAGCATTCGGCTGATTGAAGTGATCCAAGGTTTGAAAGAAGGCAAGAGCTGCATTGGCTTAGTGTTGGCCGAGACTTTGATGGGTTTAGACGGCTTCCATTGGCGAGAAACTACCAAATTCGCAAGGAGTCCACTACTCCTTCAGGTACTGTTTCCCACCCTTTTCCAATATGTGTTTCTCATATCTTAGCACTCATGCTCTGTTTTTCTCTTAAAGCCATTTTCTTACTTATCTCTCAACGTACGTCTCTCTTTTCTTTCATCCCTCCCCAGATATGGCTAATAGACAAACTGAAGGTAGTGGACTCTTGCTCTGCATACTTAGCTCGAGCATACTTCTTTCGCTAACAGCTAGTGGATTTCCCGAATGAGGGATGGTGGTGCCATTGGATGTGCGATAGGTCTGCTGTTGACATTGCTTGGTGTTGACCCTGGCTTAACCTGACCAAAATGAGCTACATCATGACTCGACAACATGGTGTTCAGTTGATTGGCCTTACACACTGTGTATTATACTTTCCGATCAAGTTCAAGCATCAGTTTGGAAATGATTAGACTTGCCCAGATGAGGAGGTAGAGTACCCGGTTTCATTCCCCACCTGAGGTTCACATTTGGCTAAGTACCTCACTGCTTGGAGGATGAGAGAGCTTCTGGCTCCTGTCCCTAGTTTTAGCTGCGCCCTTTCTGGCAAGTGCCTGACTTGGCTCGAGGATGAGGCACAAGTTGGGCCCACCTTAGCATCAGAAGCTTCCACAAGCACGAGCAGGGGACACAGGAGCACCTCACTCATCTATGCCCCTACTTTATTGCTTTGATCTTTACTTTTCAAGTTTTATCAATGTAATAAAAGCAACTTTGATTTGTATCGAGAGTTTGGAGAACTTTGTATTGAAATCAATGAAATTAAATTTATGAGCATTGAAAGTTTTCCTTTTGGTCCAAAAATGGTCTAAGTTGAAAAAGGTAAAATTTGAGCAAAAATCAACTTTTATCAAAACTTTTTGAAACCATTTTCGATAAGGATCACCACTTGACACACACGAAATCAATCCTCAAGATGCATAACCTTGAATCCAAAGATCGCAAATTGCCCCTTGACTGGATAACACTGCTCAGCACTGTAACCAGCTCTCAGAATAAAGATCACAACCGAACTTTTAGATAAAGAACAGACAAAGAATGAACAAAGATGACCTGGTCATCACATGGACATGGCAGTTGAGTTGGGGGTGTTTACGGCCAAACTTAGGATGAAGTTGCCTACCTATCCCAAAGATGGGAATTAGGCCTTACGTAGTTTGGTTCGGGTTTACTAGAGTATTAACACTCCTTTTGCACTCTAACTTTTGCCAAGGCTGCCCTTTAGAGTTTTTAACCTTGCCAGCTCAGTTTTTCTTTATTTCCAATTTTTTGTGCTCTAACTTTTGCCTAGGTTGCCTTTCTAGGTTTTCGGCCTAGTGAGCCTCTCAGGGATAGTATTTCTTCAACTTGTCCATGTTGATCGGTTGGGAAAATTCTAGGTCATTCAAGTCCATGAGAATAATAGCTACACCCGACCAGATAGTTTTGATGATGTAAGGACCAGTCCAATTGGGTCTGAACTTGCTCCTAGGGTCATGGATGGGAGCTCGGTTGTCTTTTAGCACCAAATCCCCTTTTTTGAGATTTTGGGACTTAACTTTCTTGTTAAAAGCCCTAGCAATCCTGCGTTGATAACCCTAAACGTGATACAATACTTTCAGCCTTCTCTCATCAAACAACATCAATTCTTTAAACATCCTTTGTTGCCAGTTCGCTTCTGCTATTTGACACTCAGCCATAACTCACAGTGACGGGACTTCGATTTCAATTGGCAGAACAACTTCCATCCCATAGACAAGAGAATAAGGAGCTGCCCCTGTAGACGTTCGGATTGAAGTTTTATAGCCCTAGAGCGCAAATGGCAATTTGTCTAGCCAATCCCTATAGGTCTCAACCATTTTCTGCAAAATATGCTTGATGTTCTTGTTGGCGGCCTCAACAGCTCCGTTGGTTTGCAGCTGGTATGTAGATGACTTATGGAAAGCCACGTTGTATTTCTCCAAAAAGTCTATCACTTCTTTCTTGAAATGGAAGCCATTATCTGAGATAATCTCGTTTGGGACTCCATAACGAAAAATGATGTTGTTTCAGATGAACTTAGCCACATGCGCTGCTTTCAACACTACGTAGGACTGAGCTTCCACCCACTTCGTGAAGTAATCAATTGCCACCAGAATGTATTCATGCCCATTCGACCCTTTTGGCGTGACTACGCCAATGATATCGATCCCCTAGACTGAAAAAGGCCATGGTGAAGTCATGTTGTACAGCTTCGACGGTGGGATATTCATGTGATTCGCATGGTTTGGCATTTGTGGCATCGCCGAACAAAATCGATACAATCCGACTCCATAGTGGACAAGAGTAACCTTGCCTGAGAATCTTCCGGGCTAACATTACTCTATTCATGTGCGCTTCGCACTCTCCCCCATGGATGGCCTCCATTAGGCGCTTTGATTCCTCTACTTCAACACACAACTTGTGCATTCCCAGATGACCCCTCTTATACAGTTTACCTCTGTAGATAATAAATTGAATGGCCATCCACCGTATTGCCCTCTTATCTTTGGCATTTGCCCCTAGTGGATAACCTCTTTTTCCAAGAAGTTCTAGATATCATATAACTAAGGGTTTTGATCTTGTGCTTCATTTATTGTGGAAATAGTCTCGTAGGCTGCCGTATATCTCTGCTCAATAATGATCAGACGCATCCAGACTCCAAGCGGGATGCCTATCATGGATGATAGAGTTGATAAGGCGTCAACGAACCTGTTGTTCTCTCTTAGTAGATGCGTGAAAATCAGCTTCTCAAACCTAGGAATCAGAACATCCAAGGTTTGGTGATAGATCTTCATCTTTTCTTCTTTGACCTTCCAGTCTCCTTTTGCTTGAGACACAACTAAGTTCGAGTCCCCGATTACGTCCAATCTTTTTGCCCCTAGTTCAAGGGCGGCTTCCAAACCAGCAATACATGCCTCGTACTCTGCTTCGTTATTTGATACCTTGAACCGGAGTTTGAAGGCTAGGAGTATATGGGAATTGTCGAGTGCTATCAGCAACACACCTATCCCATAACCGTATTGGTTAGACGCTCCATCAAAGTACATTGTCCAAATCTCTTCCTCAACTTGCAGAATAGCTTCATTTGGGAACAGGTATTCTACTACTTCATCCCCTTCTACTGGGTGATCTGTCAGGAACTCCGCCACAACTCTCCCCTTGACCGACTTGGGAGTGACATACTTCAGATCAAATTCAGAGAGAAGAAGCAACCAACGGGCTAGCCTACTCGTAAGCGATGGTTTCTCAAAGAGATATTTGATGGGATCTAATCTCGAATTCAGAATTACGGAGTGAGCTAACAAGTAGTACCTCAACTTCTTGGTAGCCCATACCAAGGCTAAGTAAGCTTTCTCCAACGGAGTGTAGCGGGTCTCATTATCCAACATTTTCTTGCTCAAATAGTAGATGGTTTTCTCCACCCTATCCTTAGATTCCTGAGCAAGCATGCATCCCATCGTTGTGTCGGTTATTGACAAATTCAAAATCAAAGGCTTCCCCGGCTCTGGCGGTGACAACACAGGCATATTTTGAAGATACTGCTTGATCTGCTCAAAAGCAAATTGACATTGATCATCTTATCGGAACTTTTTCCTTTCTTTAGGAGACCAAATAGTGGTTCACACGTTAAGGTTAATTTAGAAATAAACTGTCTTATGAATTGCACTTTACCCAGAAAGCCTCGCACCTCCTTTTCAGTCCTTGATGGTGGCATTTCTAGGATGGTCTTGATTTTGGAAGGATCTACCTCGATGCCCCTCTGTGTGATCAAGAAACCTAGCATTTTTCCTGCTGTTATGTCGAAAGTACATTTTTGTGGATTCAACCTCAGTCTGTATTATCCGATCCGTTGAAGGAATTCTTCAAGGTGGTGTAGTTTCCCTTTCTTTCTTTGGACTTGACTATTGTAGACACCCCATTTTTGACTGCCCTCAAGACTTGGGCACTACTGATTGCTTACGTAGTGATGCAGGCTATGCTATGCAATGCAAAGGGTCGATTTCTTTGGCAAGGAGAGAGTCAAATCCCAACCTTACACCCCATTTTTGGACTAAAACTATTTTAACCAAAGATTTTAGACTTCAAAACCCTCTCTTTCAAAACATTTTTGAAACAATGATTCTACGAAGTTTCGATGCTCGCATTTTGTTAAATGTTATGCTTTTCGGTAAACCGAGCGAGGACAAATTGGAAATGAATGAAAGAGATGAAATATTTGAAAAATATTTTAAAACACCTTGCTTGGGGGTTTGAAGTTGAAGAAAAGAGGAGAGCAGAGAAGAAACCAAGTTGGAAAAGAAGATGGGCATGAACCGTTAAGAGAGAGTCGAGCAGCCCTCGCTAAATCGGGCCTAGCCTTTTGTATACTTGGATTTAAGCTATGAGGCCACCACCGTTGGAAAGCTTACTTCCAGGGCTTCAATTTGGACCCAAGAATGACCTAAAAAGGAGTCTAGATGAAGGATTTATGCCTGGTGTAAGTCGGGGACTGGGGTTAGTTTTTGCCGTCGGCCTCTATGGGAGTGCATCGGCCACAATTGGACCTCATCAGCCATACGACGGCCAAGAGTGAACCTAATCGGCCAAAAATGGTGGCGGGTCGGCAAGAAATGTCCAGAAAGCCCAGAATTGGCAGATATTTCTCCTTCAGCTGTTGTACACTGCTCCAGATATTTCCAATTGAGATATTTTCGGCCAGAGCTTGTATTTTTGCTATATATGGAGGCTATATCTCACATATTGCAAGGTTAGAACATGAAAGCATTTTTGGGAGCCTCTCTCTCTCTAAAAAAAATCCTCTCTCTCTAGAAAATTTTAAGAGCTACATTTCTCTCTCTCTCTATAGTTCACTCTCTCTTGCCCTTTTGTGCATAGAAGTGCATAGAAGTAGAGAAATACTTATAGTTTGCCTAGGCATCCTTCATCAAAGTTGCATATCATTGGGCTGAGATCCCTTGGAACCTATTTTTGGGCTGTTGAAGGGTCATTTGAGCCAAGAAAGAGGTTGTTTTGCTGCTGTGCATCAAGAGGTATAACTCTCCTCTTTTGTATTTGTTTGGCACACTTGTTTCACCATTCCTTTTCCATTGTTTTGGGCTATTTCTTAGGGTGGTGTTGAACTACAAAAAGGTCTGATTTTCAGTCCTGAAGTGTTGATTTGAGCCTTGTTTGGCTGGGGGGTTGTTTCCTCCCTTTTGCTCCTTGGCTTGTAAGGCCTTTTGAGCCATCTTTCACCACCTTTCAAACCAACTTCCTTTTAGACTTAAAACCACCGAATTCCAGAGGAATTTCAGGGGTGGAAAGGTAGTTTTGAGGCTCAAAATAGGAGGGGGTGGTCCCCTATCCTCTTATCTTGTTAGCATGTGTTGTTGGCCTATCAAATGAGCATGTATTTCTCTCTTCTTGAGGCTTTGTTTGAGCACTTTTTTATGACTTTTTAGACCTTCCATGATTTTATTTTTGGCTGTGTTGGTCACCTCTTGCATGCTTTGTCACGCCACAAACCCGCTCCTAAAAGTTTGGGCATGACCACTTCAGAAACGGACATTTAACTTGATATATATATGAGATATGGGGTCTGAACGGAAGCATTAATATTTTAAAATAACAGAAAACCATCTCCATTGAGCTATAACTACCATGCCAGGATCACTAACGGAACATAAGGCAAATAAACATATAGTGACGTGCATCTGAGAATTTAGCTATATGCTTATACACATACATATACAGACCCAGCCCTCAAGATTGGGCATATAACAAAAGCATTGAAAGGTAAAAGGATTATATACACTTCCTCTTTAGACAGACAATCAGGGTACAAAATCAAAAGTTTAGCAAAACTCCATAAAATGAGTTGCCTTCATCTAAGTGCCTGGACACCCTGAGGTTGACATAAGAGGAACGGATGCCTTGGGTTGAGACTGACCTCCAGGTGGAGTGCCTACAGAAATAGACATAACATAAAGTGAGCCAAACACAGTGAATAGTAGTACGTAACAATTTAACAATTAACTGGAATTACAATGTACATGTATAAGGGCGGAGGACATATAGTTAGCTTTATCCTGTAATTATTTTCAGAATGGCCTTAGGCCTATGGTTTTCAGCCCTTAAACAGAACGACATTAAGCCCTTAAACAGACAACATTAAGCCCTTTTCATGCATGTATGAACTCAAGAGGTGGCTCGCATGGCAGCACTTACTTTCGTGTAACACTTTATTTCATACTAACAGATCATACAGAATGGCCATAGGCCCAGATGTCACAAATTGGCGATAGACCTCACAGATGTTACAGAACGACTATAAGCCTCATAACTTTCACAGAACGGCCATAGGCCTCATAACTTTCACATCGGCTTTAAGCCCAGTTCACATATGTATGGACTCAAGAGGTGGCTCGTACGGATTCTAGAGGTGGCTTGTATTGCAGCACTTAGTTCCGTACAGTACTTTGTTCCATACCAGAAATCATTAGGTCTTAAAGACCGAACCATCCATATCATGTCAGAGCACGGCATAACTGGAATAGATAAATGGAACAAATTCATATACTTGAACCACGGTATTATTACCCCCGGGCAAGGGCCATAAGACAACGGTATTCTTACCCCCGGGTAAGGGCCTTGTGCTAAGGATGCCATGAATACTTATATATATATATATATATGGACAATCATTTATTAATTCAAAACGTAACATATCAAAAAATAGAACATTTCTTGCCATATCATGTCATTACAGTACGCTTAACAAAGACAGAACAATTTACATTCTAACGTGGGTTACATAATGATGTTAAACCTTTGCATTCATGTCGTAGATTCTAAACGACCTCGGGTCCATACGTAACACAGCAGAATAAACTTGGATTCATACAGATACCATTGTTCAAGGATGAACATAAGTTCCATTTATTCATTAAGAAGTAACGGAGTATGCTGATAAATAATAGAGGGTTAATATTTGTTATTGACAGAACAAAAGGATTCCAAAGTCATACCGATGTGCGCAAATCTTTCAATGTTCATAGAAGTTCACACTGATTTCCAATCGTCATAATGTTTGTGTACCACTTACGAAGAACAGAGTGTTAGTGACAATAATTATCAACAGTAAATAAAATATACATTTCTGTACTGCTACTCACAATGATCGGCTCCCGGTAGCAATGGGACGGTGTCCTCGTTTCGACATATAGTACAGTGCACAACACATAATATGAGATTATACTCGATCCTTTACTTATTCTCTTTGATCATTCGATCAATTAGCCATGGTGGTACCAAGCTCATTATTCCTTAATAAGTTATAATCAATGTCTCAGAAAACAGGAGAAGTCGATGGGAAATGGTTTAGGTGAAGAAACGGTACAAAACTTGTTGACAAAAAGTGAATAGTTGTCACTAATTTAGGCATAACTATTTATGTATTTAGAATTTGGGAGTGAGACCACCTCCATTGGAAACTAGACTTCCGGGGCTTGATTTTAGGCTCAAGAATCACTCAAAACAGAGTCTCGAGGAAAAAGATATGCTTATTCAAAGTTGGTTGGACAAAGCTGTCTCCCGCACGTGCGGGAAACAGAGCCGCACATGCGGCTCTGGGTAGTTTGCTGTCTGAAAATGGCTCTCTTTTCTCCAACACTTGGTTTTTCCATTTTTAAACTTGGCTCTTAACATAAATCACTCAAAAACATGTAAGATTATCTCATAACATGATAAGTTAACATCAATCAAGTGCAATTCCATTTTAAACAAATCAATCTTTGCCTCAAAAATAGAAATTCAAGTCTCATCTTCTATATAATCAAGCTTCTATAATATACACCCCAAAATCATACAAATACATCTTACGCATGGTTGATCTTCACACCATAACTTGGTATTCCATGAATCATTCTTAAGATTGAACCCAATTCAAGCAAATTTAAAGAAATCAAGGCTCAATTCCTTGAGTTTAACTCATTTCATTCATAACCCAACACACTTGTTCATTTGCATATTAATTTTCTCCAAATCCATCATTGATTTCATGTAGTAGATGCATTATTTACAAAGATAATAGTTGAAACCACATACCTTAACTTAATTCCTTGTTTTTCCCCTTTAATCTCTTCAATTTTCCAAACTTCCATGGATGATCCTCTTTCCTTCTCTATCTCTCTTTCACGGTTCTCTCTCTCCCTCACCCTTAGATATTTTATTTGACTTCAAAATGATAAAACCCCCAACTCACATGGCCTATCCATATATGTATATATCACATACTTAAGCTTAACACAAGGGAGAGCCAAAGGTGGCCTTACGAATCGCACAAAATTAAATTTCAATTAAACTTTTCAGATGACTCTAAAAATTATGATGATCATAAATATGCCCCCTATTCTGGTTTCTGAAGCCTCTAAGGCCTTCAATTTGCAGTACCAAGTTAACCACCCAAACGTACATTAACGAATCAGACAAATTAGATTTCCAATTAAGTTTCCCAAATAGTTCTAAAAATTTCAATTAACACATTCAAGTCCTCAATTGTGATTTCTGAACCCGTAAAGGTCGGTAATTTCAATTTTAAAGCCGTGGCTCAACAGTTAATTCCTCAATTTAAACACATATCATTAAATTAAAAAGCATTAACCCATAAGGCCGTAAATGTAATATTTAATACGGATTTTGGGGTCGTTACACTAAAAGTGAGTGAAGAGAAAAGTTAATCAGTTTAATCGTCCCTAATCAAATTTCTACAAAAATGCTTATTATTACTTAAAAATTATGCTGATCTCAGATGTAAAATCAATTTTAGGTAATTAAGCCTCTAAGGCTTCCAATTTCTGATTCAATCATTATAATTGTGACAGATGCTTTCCTTACCAAACAGATAGTGGTTTCAATTTATAATAGCCATGTGCTTAAACTAAATTTCTCGAGAGATTTCACATTAAACATTTATATGCACAGAACAAGGGACTAAATTATGCCAGAAAGACCTACAAGGGTCGGGTTATTACACTCTCCCACCCTTTAATATGTTTGGTCCCTCAAACTTGTTTTTCCATGTAATATATTAGAAATCTCAGTCTCACACTGTTGTACACTACTGTTATAGATGGTCACATAATTCCTCAGTTCGAACAATTCACAGGTTAACCTGATATTATCACAGTTGTTCAAAAGTTCTTAACATAATAGGGATCTCATAGTTTTGTCCAACTAGTCATTTCGATGTCTATTTTAGGTGTGTAGAAGTAAAGGAAAACAACTCCTTATGTTAAATTCATAGGATCATGTGTTGCACAGGATGGAACTACAAGAGTCCATTACAGCATACTCAAAGCATAAGATCTCCTATAGGTAGGGTTTATAGTCATACTATTTTCTCGACAATGAGTTTCATAGCATCAATATTCAAGTGTAGAAATATGCCATTTTCAAACACGGAAACATAATAGTTAGCATTCCCTTAAACGCATAATTTATAAATTCTGAAGTATAAAACATGATAAAACCATTCTTTCAAGCACATACTTCATATATTCTCATAGTATATGTTAATCTCATTCACAATGACAAAACGTGCTCTACTATGCTCATAACCAGATTCACCCAGCATTAATAGTTCATACTCAATTGTCATTAGAAGGTACATGTTCAAACTTGTTCAGTTAAGTAATTCCTTGGGTAACTCGTGCATAACAATTCACTCAAAGTAAATCATCAAGTAAGGTTATATGAATTTTTAAAAGAAATTCATGATATGGGTAGATCCAAATCGTATTACGCATAATGAAATCAGACATTAGAGCCTACCAACAAGGTTCTGCCTATTAGACAAAGTATACTTCTATTTCAACAGTCCCAATTAAATCACTTAAGCTTGTAGCCCCTAACTTCATAATTTGTTTGTAGTATTCCCCTAGTTCTAAAAGCATATTAAAATTATACCATTATATTGGTTCAAAATAAAATAATATAATAGTCCTTGACAAGGTCAGTATAATAGATACACCTCGTTGATTTCTCATAACATTACTTTTAAGTATAGTATTACAAAAAGAATCATACTCCGAATCAAACAGTTTTGATAATACCAAAGTGAGCATCATACAGTTTTACAAATTCATACAGACATATTATTATAAACACTTAGTTATATTGCCATGAATTCAAGTCCGAGCAATAGGTACAAATGGAACGACCATCATTTCGTGCAAAGGGGAATCACTCAAAAACAAAGCCAAAAATCAAATTTAAAATCATGCTTGCCTAATCAGGCGTAACCATAAGGTGTAACATCTTTCTTTAACAAGTATTTCTTCTTGTTACAACACAAATTAATTTGACCTCTTTTTAATCATCTCGATGTTCAACTATGCAAATAATTCTTCCTTCCTTTCCTTACTGTAGGATACAAGATCCACCATATGGTTTCATACTCTCAATTTATAATTATAGTGGGTTAACAAACAACCCTACAAAAATTATAGACTAGTCAACTGGCCCAGTCAATTAACTTAAACAGGGTATCCAATTATTCCTCATACGTAGGTTCTACCAGATCCGTTTATAAGGTCATAATTCCATTAAGTATACAGTAACCACATCCCTTTGGGTTCCATAATATCTAAAAATTCAATAGTATAACGATAAAGTGACTTAACCAACTAATATCAGAGTTAGAATTCTTGGTAAGATCAATTCAACATGATAGTACATCTTCGGAACCACGTAGTGTGGATTATACAAATTTATATAAACATGCAAGAGGAGGTAGATTCTCTTTAACCCATCATCAACATGGAATACCCCTCCCATCACCATTTGTTTCTAACAACATTCACAATGTCATGCAAAACAGTTCATATTATAACTTCTAACTAAGCAATAGAGGACTCATTTGCAAGGTCCAACATTGCATTTTTTTTTTATTTTCGCAGAAATATATTACAGAAATGATTTCTCAATCTTAAGTCGTGAATATACATAAGCAGGATTTAATTCTTGCAGTCAGTTATCAATATTTAAGATGTAAGCAGTCCACCTAAACAGGTGCTAGAAAGAACAATCATATTATTATCATTTCCTGCAGATATCTATCAATCCAACAATAATGATCAATAACACACATTTCACTTAATCATGGACATATAAATTGTTTTACCATTCAACTCGAATTCTTACCACACTTCAATTGTGCAATTCCGTTGACCTAATCCCATCTGCATGCCTTACATTGTCCATCAACAATTTTCCTTTCATTATTATTATTTTTTTTACCTAGATAGGCGGAGGTAGAATCCTCTGAATCCTCCATCCTTACTCTCGCTATGTTCTGCACAACAATCAATCACAATATACACCAAGAATATATAATAGACATGAATCATAATCGTTAGCATTAAATGTTGCCATCAATCTTTTCATATGCTTTCAGAATGTTATGCATGATGCCTAAGTCTTTTCTAGACATCCTAAGGCTCAATGGATCCGTGTGTGAGATAGTAACTCGTGCTCTGATACCACTTGTCACGCCCCAAACCCGCCCCTAAAAGTTTGGGCATGACCATTTCAGAAACAGACATTTAACTTGATATATATATGAGATATGGGGCCTGAATGGAAGCATTAATATTTTAAAATAACAGAAAACCATCTCCATTGAGCTATAACTACCATGCTAGGATCACTAACAGAACATAAGGCAAATAAACATATAGTGACGTGCATCTGAGAATTTAGCTATATGCTTATACACATACATATACAGACCCAGCCCTCAAGATTGGGCGTATAACAAAAGCATTAAAAGGTAAAAGGATTATATACACTTCCTCCGTAGACAGACAATGAAGGTACAAAATCAAAAGTTTAGCAAAACTCCGTAAAATGAGTTGCCTTCATCTAAGTGCCTGGACACCTTGAGGTCGACATAAGAGGAACGGATGCCTTGGGTTGAGACTGACCTCTAGGTGGAGTGCCTACAGAAATAGACATAACATAAAGTGAGCCAAACACAGTGAATAGTAGTATGTAACACTTTAACAATTAACTTGAATTACAATG